AACAGTACAAAAAAGATGTTCAATAATGCAGGAAGTACTATTTGAGACAAACATCTTTATTACTTCATAAAAGCAGTAGCCCTGGCTATTTTCATTTTGAGAGATAATACAGTTTGAATTCCTCAAGAGCAAGTTCAGTTCTTTTTTTCTTGCTTAAATAGTAGATGTTTGAAAAACACCAGGGCATTTCCCTTCATTGTTTGAGCTTTTAAAATTATCAAAATGTTGGTAACCAACTATCAGGTATTGATGTAACAGTTTTTTGCATGACTGTGCCAAATGTGTTTCTACTCCAGTATGTTTTGATAGTTTTCACAAATGCAAAGACTGGAAGCTATTATATTTGAAAAGAGACTCTCCTTCAGCATGTATAATACAGTGTTTGAGATCAGATGTTTAAAATGGACGGGATTCAAAGCAGTGCTACCCCTTGCAAAAACTGGCTTAGATAGACCATAGTCTGGGTAGCAAGGACTATGTTTTTATATAATAATAACACAACATAACATAATATTGGTTTCTTTTCTAAATGTTTGCAGAGGTTTGACTCCAGAGCAGGCAGATTCCCAATTCATAGAAAATGCCAAGCGGCTATCCATGTATGGAGTGGATTTACATCATGCTAAGGTATTAGTCAACATTTCTATAGAAAACGAATTTTTTTTTTAGAAAATGTGGTAGAGTCATGTTCTGAAAAATACCTATTGTACAATATACATGATATTGTTGTTTATGAGGAAAGGCAGAGTGTGTTGTTGTTGGTGCCAAAGCAACCTGAAGGGAGACTTGATTAGAATACGGGAAGTAGATATGTGATGCAGTTTCTGGCAGATGTGTGAATCAATCTAAATCAACCCTCTATGTATATATTCTTTTATATATTCTCTTTCTCCTGCTTGAAAGATAGGGATATTTGTAGAACAATTTGAAATTCATATTAGGTATTTTAGGCTTGTTTTAATGAAGAGCAGTATCTTCTGAACAGCAGTCTCCTGCTACATTCTGCCAACATACACAAGCAAATGCAGAATTGCTGCTTTTCCCATGATCATACTATTGGGGGGAAAGCACCTTTCCCCAGTGCTGCTGTTTCTGTAGTAGGTGGGAAGAGATAAGTGATGCTATTTGCACACAATACCATTTCTAGTCCCAGATTCTGTAAATTGGCTGTGGGGTTGCCTTTACTATTACAAGTTTTGGAATTTAGAGATCAGTGCTTTTTTTTTTTTTTCTAACTGGTTTGCTGGAGAAGGTTCTACTGAATCAGAGCCATCTCCAGCAAGTCATTGCAAATCCTGGAATGGCAAAACTCCTATTTCATCCTCTGCTTACCCAATAAAGAAAACAAATTGCCAGCCCAGAACTTTTATTAGCCTATTGGCATTTGAAAAAAAGAAAAGAAAAAAAAAATCCGAGCACTTGCCCCAAAGGGATATTTGTGAAACTGCCAAGCTGCTATTCACCCAGTACCCTTAAAAGACCATTGTTAACAGTATTAATGAAAGATTATCATGCTGGCAGTTTCACTACTAGGAACTTTCCCTTATTTTTATAAGCATATTGCTGCAATTAGTACAATGGAGGAGATGGGGAAGTAGTGAACGTTCCAGAATGATCTGGAAAAGTTAAATGGGATGAATGAAAATTCCACAGAGCAAGTATTCTACACACCTTGTGGCATACAGTATAGAAGTGTGTATATGTTTGCATTTTCCCCTGAAATTTAATCTATAAAATACTTTATTGTAAAAAACCTAGGTTCTCCCATGCTTTAGTCTTGAAGCAGGATGGCTCTCCTCTACTAATAGGAAGGCTATTAGCCAAATATTTGGGTAGTTAATGACCTGAAATATTAAGTACAATATTGCATACTACAAAATTGAATAGATTAAACAATATATTGCTGATTATTGTTCATTAAAGCCTTTTAAAATGTGTTTTTGTTTTCACTCATATGATGGATTTCTATCTCCTGTGCACTGTTTTGATATTCAGTTAGTATATCCAACTTTACATAACAAGGCAATGACTTCTATTATTTTACAGTATTTCCATTATCAACTGCCTATCTGTCCATTTCTGAAGTATTTTGTTAGATTCAGTATTGTTGCTCAGCTAAGTTTCTCTGCCTTTTAAGATAATCTTCTCTATTGCTGTCTCATTGTCTGACTGCCTGCGTGTATTCCTACTATAATCAAGTTGAAATTGCTTTCATTTTTAATTTGACAGGATTCTGAAGGTGTAGATATCATGTTGGGGGTTTGTGCCAATGGGCTACTCATTTACAAAGACAGACTTCGAATAAATCGTTTTGCATGGCCCAAAATTTTGAAGATTTCTTATAAACGCAGTAATTTCTATATTAAAATCCGACCAACTGAAGTAAGTACATGGATATCACGATTCACATGTTAGAAATTGTATGAATACATGTCAGGTAGTTCAACAATTCATGGTGTGATATATATCTTCCTGGTAAAATGATTTTTTTTTAAAATCATACTAGATCTGTTGAAGAGCCAGTGTAAAGCAGTCATAGCTACTCAAAGGCTTCTTTCAGTTGGTGCATGGCCTTCCTTAGATGTTCTCTATATTGAATATGTCTAAAAACATATTCTCCAGCGCTTTGATATTTCTCCAGCAATTGGTCTTCGTATTGTTTCATATTTCAGAATCATACACCAGATCAGATCCATAAGTAATGAACAATAAGACCTGTTTTTAAAGCATTTGGTGCTCACTAATAATGCATGAGCAATTAAAAAGATTCCAAATGTCTACAAATGAATTAGTATGTAATCTAATCAATTGTAGACTTGCTTTTTGACACCTACCCAGATGTGTACTGTATGCAAGTCATTAAATCAGTGCAAAGCTTAATTATACAAAAATAAATGCATGTTTTTGCTTGAACATTAACTATAACAGGAAATGGATATAGACACTATTATTTTCATTCTTAATTATGTCTGACCAGTTTCTACTTTGCAGCAATTTTGTCTTGTTTAGAAATAGCTTTTCTGTATGTTGAATGTTATGGAAAAGACTTCCAAGAAAGCGCTGATCTAATCATCTATATTTACATTATGTTTGAATTGTAGCCTCTGAGTGAGGCCTTTGAGCCTTTGGTTTAGAGTAGTTAATGAAATTGCATACTAAGAGATGATGATGACAGTGATGGTGATGACGATGATGATTTTTTTTATTTAGCTCAAGGCAGTGAACATACCAGATACTCCCGCGTCCTATTTTCCCCACAACAGTGTAAGGTGGATTGGGCTAAGAGAGAATGACTGGCCCAAAGTCACCAGGCCTAGAACTCAGTCTTCTGGTTTCTAGCTCAGCACCTTAACCACTGTACCAAGTGACTGAAAATGATTACATTAAGTTTAAAGTAAATAAAATCAAATGCTAACAAAAATTAATCCCCACTGATTTAGTATAACATACTATTTGATAAGATAGAGCAAGTACAATTGGAACTGTAATCTTTATTTTTTAAAAATAAAATTTAGTTTGCATATGAAGCACAATAAAATGAACATATTTTTCTACAACATTTATAATGCTTATTGAAGGAAAACAATTTCTGAAAAGTTATCAGTAGGATTTTGGGAACCACCCAGTAAAAGCCTTCAAAATGTATTTATAAACACTGGGGAGGGTTGTTCTTTGTTTTCCTTAACTATTAGTGTCTGTAATTGAGGACAGTAATGAAAATTAATCATAGTAAAAAATATAATATTGAAAATGAGGTCTAAACAGTTAGCTAGCAGAAACAGTTTTCAAAAATTGTATTAATTTGATTGTGTGATTTTTTTTTTATCAGCTGGAACAGTTTGAGAGTACTATTGGCTTCAAGCTGCCAAATCATAGAGCTGCAAAAAGATTATGGAAGGTTTGTGTGGAGCATCATACTTTTTATAGGTAAACTTAACATTTTTAATTAATGGGTTATGGGATTTCCATGGCTTTTATGTTTTTGATGAAAAGTTTTGAAATAGAAATGCCCCCTGAGCTTTTCATAAATGAGTTTCTTTTTACCCTGTGACAAAAATACATATTCCTTATAACTCCTTTCAGTTGTGTGTGTCTCGAATGCAGTTTGATTTGGTCCTAATTTATCCCCCTGGTCTGTTATGACATGTTCAAAGTGTAAAATCCTTTGTTTTGCAAAATGATAACTCATCTAACCTTTTAAAAAATAACAAAAATGCTGATTTTTTTCTCCTTAAAATATTGTTATGATAGAATAAATGATCAGTTGATACATTTCTTTAGTTATCTGTAATATGATACAGTGGGTCCCATCTTGGTTGTTTGCAAAACATTTATGCTAGGCAATCTGAAACATATTGATAGATACCTACAGCATCTATCAATAGTAGGAATAGACAATAATTGATTCAATAAATAGAATGAAAGGGTTCTGATAAAAATAGATATTTGTTTTGAATCCTAATATTCTCCCATCTTTAAGTTGCATTTCTTCAATATTTTTTGTCTTCATTATAGTTGATTCTCTTTGTTCCCTTTGATAAAAGTGTAGGCTGCAATAAGTTAGCTAATATAGAATATTAATTTTGTTAGAGGGGAATTCGCCACAGAATTCTGAATGAAAAATAATACTGCCTGATTTCTGCAGACAGAAACTGCTGCTACTGTTCATTGGCTTTTTGACCTGCAACCCATATCTACTTTTTGCTTTCCAGTGAAAGCTTCAGCAGACAAATTATTGGACTCAAGAACTAGATTTATCCCAGGCTTCTTTTTCCTTCCTTCTGGGAATTCAATTTTGCCTGCTATTTGTTTTTATTACTTAAAAATGCTAGTTTGTCCAATTTACTTTTATTTTTAATTAATTATTAAAATCATTCACATATAGCCTGCTTGTAATTTAAATCACTGGGGTTTGATTATATACTTTATGGAAGACTGCCCTTATATATGATCAAGCTCTCCCAAGCACAAAATGCAACACATATGTTTGTAGGAGCTAAGTGATCTTGTTAAGCTTATTTGCTACATCTGTTCTACAGGAGTTAGGTTGTTTTCATTCTAGTTTAAGGAGCTAGTTTTAGCCTCTAAAACCTTAAGTGGTTTAAGACAAGGTTATCTGAAAGAGCATGCCTATCAATATCAAACTGCCCAGCATATGGGGCTCTGTTTTCATTCATTCCTGTAAATGATTTCACTGGGGAGGAAAATTGAATGGGGCTGGGTGATTGCAACTCACAGCTGTGTGTAAATGAAACTCAGTATCTGCATTTGTGCATCTTGTTGATTAGTCTCATTTTGTCATATTTAAAAGCCTACTTGGGGTGGCAGAAAATACTGGGACCTTGAAAGCATTAATGCTAAAGACTTTTTGATTCAATCTTTATCCAAGAATAATCCAGAAATCAACAAAGCTTTATTAGAGGTGGAAGACAGAGAAAAAAAACCCTAACAGTAGGAAAAAGAGTGAACTGCACAAAATGCAGAAAACCTATTATCATGTTAATAGCTTCTGGCATAACCATTTTAACTATAGCAGTCTTGAAATTTGTCAGAAAAAAAATGTTCTAGAATGATTTTCTCCAATTTGGAAGCATTGGTAATCTTTTATTGGAAAGAAGCAAAGCTCTGCAAAGAATGACTTGGTATGGAGGAGAAATTGATACTCTTTTATGAGGCTTTAACAGACCTAACAGATCCTAAATCATTTATTTTGTCTTCTGTTTGTTATCAGGTAGTTTTTATATCTGCTATATTAAACTTACATATCACTTGAGTTCTGGATTGCAAACATGTCCTTCTAAGATTGCATACTTTTTCCAGAATTGCCCATTTTGTGCCTGGATCCACATTTTTAACAGTATAAAAGATCTTTAGGATTACATTAGTGCTAAAGACTGTTAATTAAATTGTGGTTTACCGACCACAATTGGGACCGACAACTCCATCATTAAACAAAGCGGTCGCTAAGAGGGAAGTCATGTGACTGGACTGTGCTTTCATTTGCCCACTCCCCTCCTCCACTTTGGAGGTCACTCTAGAAGTGCTGGGAGAACTTTCACAAACTGACCAGACTAATCAGTTTCACATCTTCAGTTTTTGTTTGCTTCCTAACCGTGCTTATCCCAGCAATGGGATAATTAGCAAGAAGGAAATTAATGTTTGTATTTACTTTCATTGGAGGGTAAGGAATTACAAGAGAGTAAGGAGGCACACAATGGGGAATACACATTGGAAGTAATGCACTGATGCCAGCATACTATGCAAGCAGCCTGCTTTATTTATTTCCCACTCCCCAATCTCTCTGCTTTGCAAGGTGGAGGTAATGGGTCAGGTACAGGTGAGATTGCCTACAGAAATCAATATTTTCTTTTTTCCCCTTGTGGATCAGAGAGTTTGGAGTAAGGGATTATGAGAGAATAAGCAGGCACATTATGGGAAATTGCGGCATGCTCACAACTACTAATGCCAGTACATTGCTTTCAGTGCATGCCTTCTTACTCTGTTGTAATTCCATTCTCTCAATCTTTGCTCAGCAAGGAGGAAAAAACAAGTCAGGCACTTGATAGTACTATCAGTAATGGTGGTCACATGAATGAGGGATGCGGCACAGGTTGTAAATGTAGGTATTAGTCTTGAAGTTATTTTTGTCAGAACCATTGTCATTTCAGTCACTGAACACAGCAATTGGTGAAGACTATCTGTATTCAATCTAGTAACTGACTAATGCTTTGGATTATAACCATTAGAAATATGTGTAGAATCTGTTCTAATCTCTTTTTCCCTGAAGATAATTAACATGAGGAATAGGCTTACTGGCACTAGTGTGCAATCTACTCATAGAAACTGCTTTTCAGACAATACATAAAGAAATGTTCATAACAGGAGTCTTATTGCTACAACATATTAAGGGAGAAATCTTGATTTTCTAATTTTAGATGCCATTGAATTACAACTTTCATCATACTACATATTTAGCTGGCTGGGGCTGCTGAGAGTTGTATTTCAGAACCTGTGAAAATTTTAAGATTTCATAGCCCTAAATAAACTTGTTTGGTCCTAGATGAAGTAAAAATGACTTTCCATGAAGCAATGATTAGCAAGGGATAATGGATAAGGCTGCTGATGGGACCAGGGATATCAGTGGAATGTCTTAAGAAGAGCTACTCTCCCTGGTGGAGATGTCAGACACTTATCTATAAAGCCACTAACAATTGTGTCTGATTCAATTGTACCTAATTTAATTCTGAAGCACCAAATTACATTTTGCTTAAAGCCTGCATTAAGAAAAATGTGTCATTAAAATAAAGAGAAACTAAAACTTGTAAGAATTTAGTGCTTAATAAATTGCACCAATCAGATTAGCACCAACCAGTTACAATCAGTTTTGGAACCTGCTGTGCCTTTTTTAAAATGTACATATACCAGCAAAAGGTTGGAAATAGTTAGCTTTTTTTTTTTATAAATGCATCGTGTGTATCCTATATGCAGCAGAAGTATTCTTAATGAAGGCTTAGTATCTGGAGATTATGATCATCCAACAAAACAGGAACTACCCTGTCCCCTTTCCTCTCCATGCAGACTTTTATGTCTGTTTTCTGTGACACCTGTGAGATTTCAAGGACTTTTTCTGTGATGGCCCAATCACTTTCTGATGACCTTTCCTACAAGCAATACAAAGTCTTTTCTTTAAAGTATTAGTTATCTTCAGCTAATGTAGTTGTCTTTTACTTTTAATGTCTTTATATTTTCTGATTTCATATTTCAAGGTAGAGATTTTTTTTTAATTTTTGGTGACATTTTCACCTTGAACATCTTGTATAAAGAAACACCCAAGCATTTTTTATTCTTACTCTGAATAGGGACAAAATCATGTTTCTAAAAGTGCCAATTGTTCTAGATCCCTGCTGTTTTATATTGCCTTATTACAACTGATGCCATTATGCAGAAAATCCCTAAGAAGTTCAGATCTTGATTTAACAGTATTAAATTCATAGTCCCTGTTAGAAAAAAAAATCAAACTGGAAAATGATCTACTAGGCCAGGAGTCCCCAACCCCTGATCCGTGGACCAGAACTGGGCCGTGGCATGCCAGCAACCGGTCCGCACAAACAAGCAAAGTTCCATCCTCCGGATGCAGGCAGCACACAAAACCACGCACCCTCCGGTCCACAGAGAAACCTATCTCCACGGAACCGGTCCCTGGTGCCCAAAAGGTTGGGGACCTCTGTACTAGGCCATTGCTGTGACTTCACTAAGCATTTGAAAGATAAAATCACTCATATTCACTTGGACACCAGCTGGGCAAATCCAGCTGAGACAACAGATTTATTTCTGGAATTATCTAGATTGTTTTCAGCATATCACTGCTAAGAAAATAAGGCAGCGTCATCTGCATTGTTAGCTTTGCCATCTGTTGATTAGTTCCTTGTTCTACCTGGTTGGTGAAAGCAGCCAGGGAACTGTTAGGAACTGGATGTAGGCAGTGGTATATGCCCTCCATCTTGAAAGAGGTGATGGTAACCTGTCCTCCTTAAGTAATCATCATCCAGTCCAATTATTTTATAAAACTGTTGACAGTTGTCAATTACAACTTCATATTGCCGTGGATGAAACAGGTTATCTGAATCCTATTTAGTTAGGAATCAGGCCCAAGTGGAGAACCAAAAGAGCACTGGTTGTTCTTTTCGATATTTGGCATAATGAGGAAAAAGGGAGTACAATTATCCTGATCATCCTTTGATCTCCGGGTGGCCGTCAATGCCATGGACCATGTTGACCTTTTGGACCAACAGCCAGGGTTGGAAGTCAGGGGCCCAGGTCTTTGGTGATTAACCTGCTTCCTGAGTGGCTGGGTTCTTGGTGATGAGTGGGGAGAGATTGCATCCTCAGTCACTGTGCATGGGATACTACATGTTACTTATTTAGTTTGTCATTTATTTATTTGAGGTTGTATTACTGTTCAGCTCTAATAATGTGGTTCACATGAAACAGTAACAATGAAAGAGGATTTATTTATTCACTTTGTATACTCACCCATCTCACATTTGTGACTCAGGGTGGTTCATACAGTTAAAAACAACACAAGAACGCAATAAAATTCAGGAAAGCAGTAAAAACACAACAACCTTTAAAAAACAAATAAAAAGCCTAATTAAAACCAAAATTAAAACCGAAAAACAAAAAAGCAGGCAAGTAAAAGTTATGGATCAATCAATATAAACATCTAGCAGGCTCTAAACCATAACCAGATCCCAGCCTATTGACACAACCATATCTTTAGAGCCTTTCAAAAGGTAAACAGGGTTGGGGCCAATCTAACCTCCGGGGGATGATATTCCAAAAGGCAGGCACCGTGGCAGAAAAGGCTCTCCTCCAAAGTTCTGTCAGATGATATTCTTTAATTGATGGGAGCCATAACCTTCCCTTTCTGGTTGCCATAACGGGATGGGTAGATATAATTGGGGAGAGGCAGTCCCAAAAATAACCCAGCCAATGCAATTAGGACTTTATAACCAGCATCTTAAATTGAACCTGGAAGCAGATTGGCAGTCAATGCAGGTCATGGAGCATAGGCTTAATATGCACTGAAGCTTCTGGATGCTTTTCAAGGGCAGCTCCATTTATAGTAATTCATTTGGGAGCTGACCAGGGCCTAAGTGAGAGTAGAACCTCCCAGTTCAGGAATATGTATAGGTGGTGTATAACATGAAGTTATACACCACCTATACAGCCCATGATTGCCAACTGTTCTTCAAATAGGAATCATGTGTTCAGAAAACTCATTAAATTGTGTACAGGGTTTGATTGGGGTAGTGCAACAAATCCAGCTTCAAAACCTAAGGGCCCAAAAGTCACACAGTCTTGCTAGGGTTGAGCTGAAGCTTGTTCTCCATCCAAATTCCCACAATCCCAGAATTATAATGTGTGCCAGTTGTGGCCTTTCTTGAATCAAGAGGCTTTACTTACAGCCACAGTGCCTGTGTCACTTCACAGCAGGATTATTGCAATGTGTTTTCATGGGATTACCTCTAAAGATCATCCTTGAAGTTTCAGCTGGTGTAATTATGTCTGTTCTAAGGTTTACCCATATAATACCATTATTGCTGCCAGTTAAGGTGCTGGTTGTCACGTTTAAATCTTAACTGGTTCAGGGCTGGGATACCGCCGTGGCTGCCTTCTCTGAATTGAATCTGGTCGTTTAGTGCAAGGTGGGAGTGTGGGCTTCTTGACAGTCCTACCATGGAGGGTGTGCCATTTTCAGGGAGTCCAGGCTCAAGTGTATTCAGCGATGATCCTCCATCTTGGGGATAACTTACTCCACAGATATTTGAATGAAACTATCCGTATTACATTAATGGAGGACATAACAAAATGATTCTTCAGAAATGCATTTTTAGACTAATAAGATCATGTTGTCTGCAGATGGTGGTGATTAGATTAATTACAATTGTATTTATTCTTGCTTTTATTATAAGATCCTCAAAGTCTTCCAGTACGGAACATATAAATTATAATAATTATGATTATGACAACTTCCATCTTCATGTGCTCCTTGAATACCGTATCTCCAGATAAGAGCAATCTCTGAGGAGAGGGGAATAAAAAATACTGTCTTGTTACTGGTGTTCGTTTCATTTCAACTCAAGAGATTTTATGCAGGTGTCTTTGAAATAAATAGTAATTCATATTATGACTTCCAACTAATTATGTATATTCATGGTGTGCTTCTAAGGAAGTGGCAAGCAAAATAATGTAGCAGTTCAAACTGTCAATGTAAGTAGCTTAGTCCAAGAGTTTCAGTTTCCTTCATGATAATTAGGGTTAGACTTTGCCTCTTATTTTCTTCTTTCACTTGATTACCTTTTATACATTTAAATAAAGTTCTTCTGAAACTTACTTTTCCTATAATACTAAAATAGCCTTGTACTGTACTTAAGTCCTAGCATTCTTGCTAGGAACAAGAAATTGAGTATAGAAAAATAGGGAATGTGGTTAGAAGAGTAACTATATGAACACTGTCTATTCTTTAAAATATGAAGACTGCCATTGGAAAATATTTTTTGTCTCTGTTTCATAATCCTCTAGCATGCTGGCTGGGGAATTCTGGGAGCTGAAGTCCATATATCTTAAAATTGCCAAGTTTGAAAAATACTGCTCCAGTACAAGGTTTTTGAAACTATGTCCCATGAAACTAAACTTCCACATAAACTTGATGGGTTCCATGAGAGACTTAAGGGGGGAAAGGTTCACTCATATGCTGCCAGTTTTTATCACTATAGCTTTGTCTTGATCTGAGGTTCTAGTACTTTCCTTTTATTATTTTCCTTTCCTTTCATTCCGCAGCTTAAAAGCATTTGAAATCTTGCTCTAGCACATGTGTTACAATTTTTGGCAGCAATTTTATAATAAAATGTCATCCTTTTTGTCATAAAAAAGTAAAATATGAAGCACTCTTGCTACATCCAGTATGGTACATATAAACAAAAGGCAATATTAAGAAAGAGAATATTTTCAGAAATGTATAGACTGTTTTATAATTCCTAGAAATCAGTTGGTATAATTTATTAAAGAAAAAACGAGGTACTGTGTTTAGTGATTATCCTTTTATCGTCTGGAAGTGACCTTGTTCACTTTTTCATGGTTGTAGGCTTGTATCACCAGAACAGCCTCCAAAAGCCAAATTTCTGACACTGGGCTCCAAGTTCCGTTACAGTGGACGTACTCAAGCACAAACACGCCAGGCTAGCAATCTTATAGATAGACCTGCCCCATACTTTGAACGGACGTCAAGCAAACGAATTTCCAGGAGTCTTGATGGTGGTAAGAGCTGGACAGAAATTATAGTGATTTTTCTTGTTTATTCCCTATATACAAATATTATACATTGGAATAGTTATAACCCTGTTTGTCTTTTAGCTTTCATATAGCAAGTACATTTTTCATAAGTCTTGACATACCTGTTTTTAAAGAGAGAAATCCTGCTGAACCTGTTCTTTAAAATAGAAATGCTACTTTTTCAGTAGAAATACTACTTTTTTCAGTATATAATGGATTGGATTGGATTAAAAAATGTATTGAAGAACGGTTCCATAGAAGTTGCCTCTACTTCCTCTTGCAGAACTGTGGCTGTCAAACTGCTTATCCATGGTTTGTTTATAGCTAAGCATCTTATCCAAATTCAAAAAGGAGAATTGGCCAATTCAAAATTAATTGGAGAATATAGCCCAAGTTAACTGATCTTTGTTCTATGTATGGACAATACAGTTAACCAAACATACCACAAAGAGTAATTTATAAGCTGCTATTTGAGTCATTAGACATGGACTAGAATATTCAGCAGTAAATCAGAAGCTTAGGTAATTAATTTATACAGCAGTTTTCACTCGTATATATGCACAAATATGCAGAAATAGGACATGTTATAAATACTGCAACTATAACATTCTTTACTGTGATAAAATAGTCTGTTTTTATATTATACATATATAAAATGTATCTAGTGATATTTATATTCTGATTGTAACATTTGTTTATAGTCAAATGTTATTGTAATTTTATTATAATTTTATCTTACTGTGTTTTATCTCCCCTTTGCAAAACTTCATTGACAGCATATTTTCTCAAACTACATGATATCATAGTTCCCTAAAATAATAAACTCCACCCACCCCACATGAATAAACCCATTTCATTGGTGTTCATATGGGTAAGAAAGAAGTATACCACTTCTTGTAATTAAATTTTAATTTCTATACCATTTTTGTATAGATATCACATTTGTAGGACAGCAGCTGCCTTGTCCAGGTTTACACAGGCCAAATGAAGAGCAAAGTCCAGAGTGAGCTTTGACATTATTCCCAGTTAACCATATAATGCTAACCAGGTTTATAAAAAATATGACCCTGTACAGTTGCTTTTTGACCACCAGGTACTCTGAACCCTGATGTACCCACTTATCTTGGTGGGATGCTTGTTTGTTTTTAAAGGAAACAAGTAGAATTCATCTGAAAACTAATAGGGGAGGTTTTTTTAATATATTTTTGCAGCTCCAGTAGGCATTGTAGACCAGAGTCTGCTAAAGGACTTTCCTGTTGCTGCTGGTGAGAGGACCTTTGAACTAGCTGGACAGTACAAGTTAAAAGATGAGGAAGGCAGAGATGTGGATGGAGGAATTACTAAGATGTCACAATTAGAAGATGGAAAGGTATGATTGTTGAAAATCAATTTTGCACAAATAACATTAAATTTGAATGCTACCTAAGTTCTAGTAGTTATATTGTAGCTTCAAATTCTATGGCTGTTTTTATGACTGTATTACCAGCCTACGTAGGAGAAGGTGTGGACTAGTATACTGACTAGCATAACATGAGATCAGATTATGATCTGCCTCTTAGGGTTTAAAACCATTGAATAACTGTTGGAATAGAAAATGTTTGTGCTTTAATGAATTCACAATTCTAAATATGTAACTGCTTTGTAAGACTGATTTAAAATCTGGAAGTTTCTCAAGATCTATAATTAGAAGCATTGTGTGTCCTTGTGCTGCCGTCTCCCCTTCTGCTAAAGCTTTGAATGTCTGTCTGTTTCCATTTACACTGCTCTTCACAGACAACAAAAAGCTGTTTGAGATGTCATAATCCAAATGTTTGGATTGTATGTTGTTTAATTAGATAACAAATGGGGCTTATAAATGTTTATGCATTCATATTCTAACAGTACTGCTCATCCTATTTTTGAATAAAAATTCTCACTAACAAATGTCTCCCTTTCCCCTTCTCCATGTTTTCCTTCTGCTTACAAATACATCTTTATATTATGGTCATGGTCTGCATCTGAGATTAGACTTTCTCTACCACCGTACTCCTCCCATTTTGCTCTTTCTCCTCTCCCCCTTCTCTCTCTATTTTATGCATTTATGCATCAGTTTTCACCTTCCATTCATTCCCTTTCATCCTGTTCCTCAGACTTAATTGATATTCATGAAATTGACATGCTTTTAGATATTTTAGATCATAGTAATCTTAATAAATCTGCACGGATAGCAGGAATTCTCAGTCCTTTGGCTGAAAAGCCAGAAAGTAATAGAAATGAAGATAAATCATTTACCTACTAGTAGCATTTTTTTCTTCTTGCAATAGACAGAGAAGCTGATAAAATTACTGAAAATGAAGATGCTGTGTCTACAGTATTTAGTTTGAGAAAATGGATTTCTTTAGTTTCCCTGCATGGTTTGATAAGGATAGCTGCGTTGGATTTCCTAGTTTTACAGGAGCGTGCATCTCCTTCCTCCCCACTTGGTGTTCAGCAGTATCTTTCTGGTACTTCTCTCTCATTTCTTCCTTTCCTTCACATTATTTGTGTCATTTTTCCTTGCTTTCTAATCAGTTCCTTTGTCACTCACATTGTCCCTTCCTATCCTTCTGTTGCAACCTGGAGCCTAAAGCAACTTCTCTGAATGTTTTTAATGGCGCTACTCTAACAGACAAAGCAAAGGAAGAGAAGGTGTGTAACTTTGTTGCCTAATTGTCTTTTATATAAATTTGCTTACACATGTTTAGAGGTAATCTGTACTTCCAGAATGAGGCCAAGGTGGCTGTGTATTTAGTGCCATCTATTGATACATGACCATCTATATAAATTCTCCAGTATTAAAAAGTAGATAAATAATATGATTTACTTGATACTATTCTTAGAGAAGTTTTAGAACACAAGCTACTGTATATTAAGATGTTTCCTAGTATGTTAGAAACTCTCAAATCAAAAATTGCACTGCTAAAAACTGGCCATCAGATTTCAGAAATGCAATCTTAGGCTACTGGAGGGTCTCAGATTTCACACCCCTAAATTAAATAAACTCTTTTTACATTGAAGTTTTGCTTCATGCTTGTAGCAATCAAGTCTATTCAAACCTATGCACTTAGGTGCTATTCTTATGGCATATCTCTTCCAAAATGGATTAGGTCAAGACATTCCCAGAGATGAAAATACAACTTGCCAAACAAGCAACTGGCCTTTAGGTATAATAGTCTGTAAATTGTTTAGCATTCCTTAGTTGTTTGAAAAATAATTGAACTGGTTTCCTTTAATATGTGTTGTCTCTTCTATTTCTGTTAGATATTTCTGCCTTTTTCTTTTAGATACTAGTGTCTCATTTTGACAAATACTCAAAAGGCTTTGTTCAAATGTAACAATAAGCAGTTGTCTATTATGATTAGAACAAGGCTTTATACAATACAAGTTTGTGTACTATCCCTTCCTCCAGCCCAGCTATAGGAGGAGGGCAAAAGTGTTTATTTTCACTTATAATAAATCACAGTCTTAATTAGGATTTGCCGATACAAACCAACTTCAAAGCAAGTCCTTTCTGTTGTCCATAAATGATTTTTCAGGGGAATTGATTTGGGGAATTGTTCAACAGGGGTCACAGGTTAGTAATTCAATAGCTAAATCTGATTTTCTTTTTGTCACGTCATGGCAAAGCTGCATATGACTTTTGAAACTTTAATTGTGGCTTCTTAGAGTTTTCCAAAACTTTAGAAACTTATTAGAACTTATTAAACCTATTGAAAAGCAAACTTATTAAATATACTTATTTAATTAAATGTTAATGAATCAAAAGCATTAATCATGAATCCATCCTATATTGCATCTTGCGTGCCACTCATATCAAATATAACCCTTGGGCCAGAAAAAGAACTGAGATAATAGTCTTGAATTTTGAATACAGTACATTTAAAGCAGATCCTTTGTTGGAATTATATTTCAGTGTTAATCAGAATGTGAAACAATATTTCTTCAGGGAATGGGGAGATTGGGGGAATTTAACTTTGAAAAAGAATTAGAATTGAAGCCAGTGTTTACCAGAGAGCACATAAATATATATCTCTTTTAATATGGGCAAATGTTAAGCCTGCTAATCTTGTTGAAAGTAACTTGTCAGTTGTATTTGGCATGTTTGAATAATATTTTGTAAGTGAGAGAGCCATAATTTTCTGTGCTACCTCTGCTCTAGTGTTTACATTGGCCCCACTCCATCTTCTCCAACATGGTCATACAAAATCAATAATTTCCTGAGGAAGCAATTAAATATTGTTAAACTTTCTGATTTTTTTTCTTGTTATAATTGCTCTACAAATCTTGGATTTAAATTTTCTCTCCAGTGTTATCCAGAGCAGACTCTAAATCAGTAAGATTAACTACCAGATTTTTAGAATACAAAATGCTCTAGGTTAACAAGAGTTTCCAGATGCCCTCTCTTGACTGTGGCAAGGGGGGAAATGATTCAATATATAACAACAAACCATAGTTCAATATTATATGAGTGAGCTATGTATTTGTGTATTTTCAGTCTAATTGTCTACTCCAGTAATGTCTTGTCTTACTGTTAATGCAGATTGACTGCATCTAAAGATGGCTTGTGCTTCTTTTCTTGTAAAGGAGTGCCAACCAGTTGCAAATAGTGGTTTGCACTATTGGCTTATGTAACGAATAGGCTTGAAAACCCAATTATGAGAGGCAGATGGTCTATTTCAACCATTTTGGAAGTATACCTAACACCTAAAACACTTTTAAAATTCAATGCAACAATCAGTTTCATGCCAAAAAATGGCATTTTGCACATATCATTTTGCACATATCTAGATAAATATTATTAATAGTAATGATAAATAGGTATTAAATATAAAATAATTCATTGAAATGTCTGATGAGTGGGAGAGCTGCAAGTTAAAATCTTAATCTGAGTTTGACATTACACATATACCAAGATCAAATTTATCAATTTGTTTTGGACTTGAATGATCTCTGTTGATTTCAAACATTTTTAACAAAACAAAGAAAACCCTGAGAGACTATTTTATTGAGCATAGACAGCAGACTTTATTCTAATTATATTGTAATTATAATAGCTCACTCAGAAAATTCAAAACGCAAACACTTATTTTTTCAAACTATTCTGTTTTTAAAACTCCTTTAAAGTTAAAAGTTATGGATAAAAATATACTAATAGAGAGTTCTGTCTGTAGAATGACAGAATTTCCATTTCAGCCATTGTGACTAGTGGTTTAATACATTGACCAATATCTGAAGCCAATACATTCTGTGCTTGTAAATAGGTTAAGTTGTTTGCAGTATTTCCAGTTAAAGACTCTATTATGCTCCAGTAGCTTCCTCTAATTCTCCTTTTTTGCTGATCTCTGGGTGATTCCACTATATAGACGGAAATGGAAGAGGACAAAATTCACAAGAAGGTTGCTGCATCTGTATTATTAGTGTTTGAAGCTTCAAAAGTTTATGTTTGCATGGTGCCCTTCTGTATTTAATTTCAAAGCCCTGTTTATTGAATTTTTAAGCACTTTTTGGCTGTTTTGATGATCATGGGCTTTTTTCCCCCCTTGTTCTCTTTTATGTGTGTGTATGTGCTTTAATTTTACAGATTTATTCCTTGAGAGTAAATGGGGAAAATCTTTATGTCAGACATAGCAATTTAATGTTGGAGGTCTGTATAATTAAAGGAGTACTTTCTGTTCTCATGGGCTGCTAGGCTGCATGAGATGGGAAATCACTTGCAGGCTGCTCTGGGCACAATGCATGAAATGCATGGAGACGTTCAATTTGAACATGCATGTTCTATTTTGGTACTTCTGTAAAATGAGCTACATTGGCAGCTGTTAAAAATACTTTGCAGTGGCAAGCAGGACGTGGCCCTGTTTAGATGTTAAGACTTAAAAGAAACAGGACTTTTTAGAAATGCCTATCACTTTATAGAGACAGCACTCAGAACTTTCAGTATGTTATAACACTTCTTACACCTGACTGGAAGTATAAGAATAGAGAAAATGTGGCTTTCAAGTTAGAACAGAAATTCCGAGTTCTCTTCCTAAATTATTTGTGGGCAACATACCAAACTTTCTAAAGCATTGTTAAGTTTAATTTTATAATACTATCAATTAGTTTTTATGATACGAAGAAAGAAGTACTGATTGCCAAGGGTTTGAAGATAAAGTTGTGGATGTAGACTCTTTTGACAGAATAATTGGTAAATAAAAATGTATCATCCAGATGGGGCTATTTCCAATATTAAATTTAGGATATCTCAGAGATAGGTAGATACATAATGTATAGACCTGTAGATTTGCAGTAACCTTACTAACATGTTCCATTGCTTTCTGGCAGCTTCTGATAATTTAATATATATTGGCCTAATTTTATCAAAACATTATTAAGATTATTGCATAACATTGCATTGAACAAATCCAAGAAAAGTGCCTAATCGTAAAATTATTTTTTAAAAATATATTGACACAAGTTATAATAAATTCCAGTTAATTTCCATTTTTTAGATTCTCATTAAAATTTCAATTGTCCCTCAAAATTATTTGTATTTATATAGTTTATCTTGTCATAGATTGCTATGCTTGAATCTTGTCAAATAAGATATTTGTTTATAAGAATAGCAATACAAAGCATCCAGTTTCCCCAAGACTCTGGGAAAATATTTTCTCTACTTGCTGTTTTAATGTTGTCTTTCACCAGCATAATCCTGAATCTTTTTCTTTTTCTCCTTAACATATACAGCATATTAGTTTTCTCAGTCTTCCCTCTATGTATCCTCTTAGCTTCATCGCCACAAGGATAATATAAAAGAACAGAATGTTATTTCTCGGTTTAATTAAATTAATAATTTAGCCCAATTTCTTACTATTTCATTTGTTTTATAAATTAATTTGCAGATTAATTGCAGAGTAGTTTTTGTCCCTCCTCTTTCATGTGTCATTAATAATGACATACTATTTTGAAACAACTGCAGAAGTCAGGTTTATACATTGAAATAATTCATTTGAAAGCTCAATAGGTGGATGACAAAGTCATCTGTTTTCATTAAGCTATATTTTGTTCAGTTAAAAAAGGTAATAATGGAATTTGCTGCTTCCTCCTAGTAAATTCATTCGCAGACAAGGAAAGATGGTTTTCCAGCAAAATATTTCCAAATAAATTATTTTACTTTTTTCCTCTAGTGCATTGTGTTCCTGCAAATAAATGCAAATTCATTGATAAAGAAAGATCATTGTTGTAGCAAGAGCGTATGCTGGCTTTTACTCTGTTAGCCAAGCCAAGCTACTCTAATTCCCAGTCCCTTTCTTAGTATATACTGTATGTGATATATACTTCACTGATGTAAAATGAATAGTCTGATTCTATAATTTATAACAAAGGCAATTATAATTACAAGGTAATACTTGTCAGAAAGCTTAGAATATGCAGACTCATGGCAGCAATTCATTTGTTGTGTAAACATCAGTTTCTCATATTTGTAGAATTTATTTCATTTTTGTAGGTAATGCAAAGGCCCTGGCAACCATCTGCCCAAGTTACTGTGTTTTTGTCAGGTTCCAAAACCCAAGAAAGGCATGCAGAGTTACTTTTAAGAGTTTCTTGTATTGTTCCTCACATACAGGCAGAAATTTTGCCAACCAACTACTTGTTTTATTAAAGATATACTGAGAACTTCTAAGGAGGACCTGCCCTGACCCTCTTTCTCTCAATCAAACTATCTAAATTCTAAACTTCACTGTATCTTTGTTCTCTGGAATGCAGCCCCTCCTCCTGGGAATCCAGGCTACATTTCACCACAGTTTTGCATCAGGTTGCATCACGGTGCATAAAAACTTTAAAATGTGCCGGCACAATACTAGTAGTGTGGCAACACATATTTTATTTGAAATATTTGTATTACATGGTTTTCAACATTATAATGGAAATAAAAACAAGGTATTAATTTTCCTGAAAAAAGTACAAATGAATATTTTTAATTGATAAGCTGCTGTTATATTTTCAAACACTAGGCACTTTTCATGGTGTTTTTTAAAAAATGTCTTTGTTGTATGAATTCCCTGCTCTTTTTACATTACACGTTGGTAGGAACTGGATAAGACTCAGGATGAATTACTGAAGCATCAGGCTAGCATTAGTGAACTCAAGCGCAATTTTATGGAATCCACTCCTGAGCCACGCCCCAATGAATGGGAAAAACGGCGTATCACACCTCTAACTCTACAGGCACAAGGGGTATGTCATTAAAGACCCTTGTCAGCATTCCATGATAAACAATATGTATTATTTCATATTAATAAGAAAAATAAGAACCGTCTCTTCACTGCTAATGTGAGATTTATTTGCAGCTAATATTTATTAACTTTATGTGCATGTTTTGCTTTGTTCACAAGTTGTGAGAAAACCAGAAGATATTAGTTATAGTTCATCAGAGTAACATTTAATAGTGCAGTTCTAATCATATTCATTCAAAGATTTTAAGTAGCTTTGTTGATTCACTGTTTACAGTAAACGACAGGACACAATCTATCAGAAAAAGGAAAGTAGGGGAGAAGCATCATTTACAGCAATTTCTCTCCATCTCACAAACCTAATATATTTAAGATTGCTGAAGAATGCAATGTAGTCAGAACATCAGGGATTTATAGTATTAGAAGATCCTAAAACATAATAGCATTCAGAGTGTCTATATGGAACTTTAGTATAATACCTTCATTATTCAATTAGGAATCATAGTTAACAATTGTGTAGCAAAATAAGGATACCAACTTAGAAGGGTACTTTAATAAGTTGGCATTTAGAGATTCTTGTTGGAGATTGCTACCAACCTGAGTATTGGTAGCATAGATTAGTTGAATTTGAATTGTGAGCCAAATATTTTTAGTGCTTTTCTAATACAGTTTTAATCGGTATAAAAATTGCAGTCCGGAAATTGTTGACTTTGGGGTTATCCTCTTGATTTGACCAGGACTTCATTATAAAATATATATACACTAGGAGTCTTTTCGTCACTTTTCTGTAAGCTATATTGGTACAACTTTATAGATTCATAAAATAAGTTTGATGTATTTGTATAGTATAAATTATATCCTATACACAGTGAAATTAGTCATTCATTTGTTGAATATTCTGGGAAAAGTAGCATGTAGCTTCTCGTGTAAGACAGCATATAAGCTTTTTAGCTAGTTCACAAGACACTTTTTCAATGTGCTGGCATTTTGCTGGACATTCTTGTCTGACATTTCTGCGGGTTTTGAATAAAAAAGTTGCATACATTACAATGCCTATGTTTCTGAGAGGTACTCTACCTTGTGGGTTGACACTTTGTAAAGCTCTTCTACTTTCTTCTTCCATGTTGATTTGGAAACAAAATACAAATTTCCCACAATGTATGTAAAGTAAGAGCAATGGGAATATGCCTTCAGTGGAATAGGAATGGACTTAAAGGGTCTACCAGTTGACAGAAGAGCACAAAAGAATGGTAAATGAGGCTGCCTACAAACTTATCCTTTATTCCTATACGTCTAAGCATCTGGGGTCCTGTTATCTGTTGTTATTACTGTACTTAATTGTTCAGTATGTTGCCTTTTTTTCTCTAGCAGATAGCAATTTCCAAAGTAGATATTCAATTTAAACTTTAATAAGCTGTCCCCAGTACAGTGGCAGTTTTTTAAGTTTGAAGAATACTTGTTTTTCCTCAAGCTCAGAGCCCTTAATGAACTATCTGGTATTTTGAACAGCATTTTCATCCACTATTGCCTAGCACAGCATATGTGATAGAATACGTATATATAATGGAATAATTTTGCAAAAATTACATAATTTCCAGTTATTTGGATTTCCTTAACAATAATGTTCTATATTTCTTCATCTGGGTATATACCAAATTACTGAGCAGAAAGTGAATATAATTGTAATGTAGTAGTAGTTTATTTAATGGCACCCATTTAATGAGATAATTATACTAGTGTTAGTCTTCATACATATTTTCATTCATGTAGGGTAGAATTTATATGTAATATTAAAATTTATCATATATACAGACAGATTTACTTAGTTTACCTAAAATCTATAAAGTGTACAAACTGAAGGATCTACTTCTAATTCACTCTTTTCTTTTTCTTGTCTACTATTCTATGCACATGAATGTTACATGTAATTGTACAATGTTACTATTGCAGCTTCTTATGCTACATCCTGTCCATCTCTTAGTTCTGGTTTCAGTATAGTTTTTAAAACCTTAATCTGTGTCATTTTAATATTTTCATTATGTTTTTATTTGTAGGCCTCCAAGAGTTACCTTATAGGGGAGATGAGCGGCATAAATTTTTTATAAATAAATAAATAATAGCATTGATAAATCTTATTCCTGAATTTTATCATTGCTATAAAGTGTGTCTGTGACTATGTGCATGCTCACACACACACACAGACAAAAATATGGGACATATTAAAATGAGGCAACTTCAGTAATCATTTCATAATTGCTTTTACCTATTTGAAAGCACAGGTCTTTTCAGGAAAAAGTAAATATTACAATAACCTGTTAGAGCAATATTAAATGCTGTGTAGTATACTCCTGATCAAGATATACTGTAATTTTAACCATATTACTATTAGACATATTGAGAAATCTTGGTGTATGGCAAATATATTAAGTTTAATCTATCAGTGTAAATGTAGAACTTTTGCAGCCTTAACAAGAAAATGAAGTTAGAGCTTTATATAAAAAAAAGAGAGATGTTTTGTAGTATTTAAATATTTTTTAAAAAGAAAATTGTGGGTTTATCCCTCTCCCCCTTCACAAAGCTGTAATTCTTTCTTTCAAGGATTATCCAGATATCTCAAGGTACTTTTTTTGCTGTATTTTGAAACAGACTACATTTGTTGGATAAATGCTCCTATTTGATCCATCTTGTTTTTATATATGCAAATCATTTTATTCAAAAATAATTAGACAATCAAAACTGAGTATTAGTTCAACTGTACTCTTATTACAATTTGTGTTACAAATTAACTCCAGCTTTACCATCCATCTTCCATATTGAAATATTGTACGTTACATGCAAAACGGTAAAGTTTTAAGTAAAAATTCAGAACTAAGCAGAATAAAAACATTTGGTTCATATTAATTACGCAGGTTTATTACACACGTTCATTGTTGAACGTACTCTTACCTGTAGTATTAATATTA